ACTCTTTCCATAAGCCTCTTTATTAAGTTTTATGTGAAAAATTTTAAAAAGAAAAAATAAAATCAATTTCAATATGACTTATAGAGATGATATCACTAAAAAGCTTATATCAAAGTTAATTCATCATAATCTTCGATTGGTTCATCAAATTTCAAGACGTGATTCAGGTTTATAGTTAAGAATGGACTCAATTTTTATTTGGATATTAAGTTTATATTGAAGAGTTTATATTAAAATTTAAGTTTTATATTGAAGAGTAGGCTCAATTTCACAAAGAGGCTCAATTTCGTAGTCAAGATGAGATCTAAGTTGAATTATAGTTTAGGCTTAGATATGATTATAAGGTCAACTACAATTTCCAGCTCAATTTCTAATGGAGGTTCAGCTTTAGAATTTATCTAATGCTCAACTTAAACTTCAAACTTAAATTGCAACAATTGCGTTGCAATTGCTTAAGTATAGGTGAAGGTCATTAAACATTTCTAACGTCGTTGCATATTTAGGTTTGATATCATTGGATGATAGTGTAACTAAAAATCATCTTATGTTTTAATATCTTTGAATGTTAATTAATAAATCATAATTATTAATATAATCATATTCAACAAAGTTTGATTCTTCTGATCTAGGCATGATAGATTTGAGAGAAGGTAAATATTTTCAATAGATATTTTAAATACAAATGTGGTGGTGCTAACATAATAGTTATAATAGATTTCTACAACCAAAGGTAGGATAAATCTTCATTTAAGGTTTTGCCTAATTGAAGTTTAATGCATTTATAATCTTTAGCAGAAGATCTTTAATGAAATAAGTAAAAATAATAAAGTAGGTTCGAGGTAAAGGATTCTCAACTATAAAGCTCATAAACTCATCATGGCTTTTATACACACCATTTTCACTTGTTTACAATTCTTAAGTTGTCCATACATAATACTGGAGTTAACCTAAACTACAATAAAAATATAAGTATTATTGTTGGAATTCAATTGTTACAATGACGACTCTTTAAAACAAGAATAAAACAATACAAAACACAAACAACACTCTAGGGTGAGGACGAAATATGTGGGTTGTGTTTGGATGACTGGATGAGAGGTTGCAGGGGTTCTGGATGGAGGCAACAAGTGATAAGGGGGAGGGCGTTGTTTTTGGATGCGGAGGCAAAGTGAACAGGAAGAGCAGTGGGTTAGGAAGAGCAGGAAGAGCAACAACAACATTCAGGGGGTGAATGGTAGATGACAACAAGCAATTACGGGAAGCAGAGAAGGGATTATGTGGTTGGACAATAGCAAAAACTGCCAGCATAATAATTCTGGCAGAGTTGACATTAGATATGGCTGCTGATAAGGTTGGGGAAGTGAGGAAAAGGTGTATAAACACCACCTCAGGATGAGTTATAGCTGCAGCGCCTTATCGCCTTCAGGAATAACTCAAAAGAAAAAAATAGACGTTGATGGTTGTCCTGATAAAAAATACAGCAAAAATGGGAGGCCCCTCCCCTTGGGTAGCAACCCTTGCTCATAAAACTGGATCGGCACCCCCCCCCTCCCGTGAACCGCTATAGGAGGTTCAACCAGCTCAACCCCTAGGGAGCCCCGCATCAGTCTCCCAAGGTTGGGGGAGTTTCGCCTCATTCGTCTAACGACGAGATTTATTATCGTTTTTCACGTGTCTCACAAAAGTGAGAGTAGGTGTGAATTCTCCTAATTTCTAACTGACCGTATGATCTGCGATATAAATAGATAAATGTTCCTTTCCATTATGAATAACAATTGTATGACTAATCATTGTGGGTATAATGGTAGATGCCCGAGACCAAGTCACTATGATTTCTTTCTCCTCCCTCCTGTTGAGTTTTTCAATTCTTCCCAATAAATGATTTGTTGGTTGCCGGTGATGGAGCTGTTGTAACCTCCCGGGGCTGAAGGCTCTACAGTTGCGGTCTGTAAAGCACCTGGATTCCATTGGTGACTGCACTGTCCCCCCAAGACACCTGAGGATCTTTATCTACTTACGAGCAAACATCCACATCTGTGCAATCTTCTTGGAGCCCCCTACTAAACTAAGTTGGGTCTGTGTGTCATATGTATACTGTTGAATCCTCCTAATGTAATCCAATGTCAGCTCAACCTGATCTGAAGTGAGGGTAACCTGAACCTTCCCGAATGAAGGTAACCATAGCCGTAAGGTATCGACCATGATGTCCTGAAATGTTCTCTGTCATGACTGTCCCTTGTTTGGAGCCAGTGTCTCAGTCCTTTCATCCATCGTCGTCACCAAGATTGGTCCCACCAATGCTGCTCTGCTGGCAAGGGAATAAGTGATCTCGGGCTCTGCCAAAGGGAGGAGGAAGATGTGCTTCAGATCCTTGGTGAAGTAGTATGTGTTTCAGAATTCGTTGTAGTGAGTTCTACGATCAACCACCATAGTCTCCCAAACAACATGTGACAGTCATCCATGAGTACCACACCACACCATACCCGATTTTGCAGCTGGCTCTCAATCGAAAACTCTACTAGGCACCTCCGGTTAGGGCGGACCCTGACTCCTTCAGCAACGTTAGAGAATATGGCTCTGAGTCATGAGACTCAACTTCTCTACCATCTGTGTAGATGCCACGTTTTTGCCGCTCCCTCTATCTATGATGAGACTACATACCTTCCCATTCACAATACAATGGATGCAGAATATGTTGCTGCAAAACCACCGTGGAACCCTTGTATTCAGGAACATTTGAACCACGAGCATCTCGCATTCATCTGGTGGGAGATTTTACACCTCACTCTGTTTCTCAATTGCCGCCTCATCGCTAACGTTCTCCACTGCGCCCTGCTCGGTAAAAGATACCTCTCCTCGTCAGGTAGCAGGAGGCGATGTGCCCAAATCCATGCCATCTGAAACAATTTCTGGCGGGTACTATCGTAGGAGTGCTACTCTTCTCAGGCTTTTTCTCACTTGGGGTGGCTCTATCCTTCTCTGAACCAGTTTTCTCAACTCCCTGAGACGGACTTCTGTTGATGTCTCCAACTGTGGATGACTGCCTGAGTGATGGTGGTTGCTTGCTTTGTTTCTACCATATTTTCACTTTCAACGCTAAGGTCCAGACATCTCCAAGTGACCAATAGGGTTGCAGTTGTACCGCGTTGTTGATAGCAGACTTCAGGCATCCCAGATAACCGGTTACCGTTTGCTCCTTTGGCTCGGCCAACTCGAACTTGATGTACGATTGGTCAAACTGGGTTGTGAACTCCTCCATCGATAGATCTCGTTGTTGCAGGTGATGGAGCATGAAAACATTTCCTGACAGTAGTAGGGTGACAGATATTTCCTCTTTATCTCCTTCTTTGTCTTCTCCCACTTGGTAATCTTGTCACCGCCCTCTCTCTTTCTCAGTCTCTGTAGGTTTTCCCATGAAAGGGAGGCAATCTTCTTCAACTTGATGGCTGCTATTTTTACCCATTTATTTTCTGACACGTCCTTATACTCCAAGATTTGCTCGACATATTGTAGCCAATCGAGAAAGTAGTCTGGATCCATACCTGCATCGAACGCTGGTAGATCCGCCTTATTCGGCTGCTAACTTACACTCTCTACCTTATGGGGCTGGTTCCTTCCACTTTGTACCTTAGGAGGCTGGTTCCAGGTTCCAACAACGAGGTTCTCCAATGAATCAAGGAGACTATAGGAAATATCATTGAGCTTGCCTTTTATTGTCCCCTTATATTCTGCTATTTTGTGACATCCTATCTGTAGTTTATGCAATGTAGATTTAAGGAGCACTGAAAACATTTATTTACTAAAACAACCATAGTATAACAAGTAGAATTATATTACATTGGCTGCATATTACTTAATCTTGTGTTATCTAGAAGGAATTTTATTGAATTGGCATCTGTTTTGGTGAGATTGTCTACATAACTTAACGTAGTACCTGGTAAAGTTTTTTCTAGGATATCTATAATTTACTTTTATTTTCTGCTGCTCCACAAGTTTGTAGCAAAATCATCTAGTAATAAAGTAATCAAAGTTGTGTTTCTTTTTTCAAATGTTATTTTCTTGCATCCAATATTCCTTTTATTATTGAGGCATTTACATGCATACCACTCAATTCCTTTGTATTTACATCTCTAATAGCTAAACATTACTTTTTACATTTATAACATTCAAATCTTTCATATCACATCAAAACACTACCATTTTAAAGTTTAAAAAGGGAATACACCTTTTCATGCATAGGTAAGATTGCATGTGTGTAAAAATTGAAGTTTAAGTGTTAGATATGTAAATATATAGGCATTGAGTGGTATTTATGTAAATATTTTATTATTATTTTTTATATGAGATTTGATGATACATGTGCGTAAAGGCCAATCTCATTTCAGGCTACTGAAGATGCCAAGAAAGTGGTTGAGGAAGAAAGGGCTCATGCTCAAGCAGAAATTGGCAATGCCAGAGCAGCAGTGCAAAGAATTGAGCAAGCACTTATTGAACGAGAAAAATTATCTGAAATTGCAGAGAAACAAGTTCGTATAGTACATAAAATTTTTAATCTATTTTATGCTAAAATTCTTCTGTTAATCAACAATCTATATTTAATTCATTATTAATCTATTATTTTCACCGATGATGTTCTCCGTGGGAAACTGCTTATCCAGCTCTCTTGCCTGCTATGATTTTCTTAATCTGTCTTATCCTGTCATGTTTATTAGATTTATTTTGTAAAACGATATATGTTTTGAATGCCTCATTTGCATCTTAAGATAAATTTCCTTCACTTATTTTCTATTTATTGAAGCTCAAGTTTGACAACGTGGTGTTCTCATTGAACCCATGATTTGGTTCTATTGTTGTAATAATTGCAATTAATTGTTATTTTCTACATTTTTTTCTTTGCCATGTATTTTAATGATTTATAATTAAAATAAAGTTTTAGTGCAAAAATGTTAGATTTTGTTGAATAACATTTTCTAACATGTGACGTGGTCTCCCGCAATACCGGCGGTATCTGCCCACATGATCTTGGGAGTCCTACGTTGAATGTTTTTTTCTTTTTCTTTTTAATTTTCTTTCCTTTATTTTCAACAAACTTCCTTCTTTGTTTATTTTCTTTCTAGTTCTTTCCTATTTTCCTAATTTATAATCAGGCCTTTTCCTATTATGAGACGTTTATATGTGTAGTGGATTGTTTGGATTTTCAGCTCGGTTTTTTATATTTTGAGAGTTATTCTCTAACATACTTGCTCTCTGGAGTGCTTTAGCATTTTTCCTTCGCAAGTGATGTGCATGTAGCTTACCTAGGAACAAGCGGTAGATCTCCGTAGTTGTATGCACCTTGCCGATTCACCGTGTATCCGTTGTTTTCTGTCGGACAGTCATCAACGCCACTATCAACATCTGTTTATGGTAGGAACACCCTTTTTTCTACCCTGATTCACTGTCTTGTCTCCGTTCGTGCCGATTATCAGATGCCATCTGTCATCCCACTCATGGTATCAATCCTACAACGTCCTTCACGCCTTTTTGTGTTCTATCACACATTCTAAGAACCATAAAATAAATTTAGTAACAAAGACACCCATAATTTGGTAGGAAGAATGAGACACAATGCCGCCAAAGAGATATCCTCAACGAGTTGCTCTGGAAATTACTATAGATGACATGCAGCAGGAAATCCTGTAATTATAGTGGAGACTCGTTGATTTTGAAAGAAGATAGCATGGGAAGTCACCCACAGCAACAACGAAGACCACTCTGGTGAACGAGATGAAGAAATCCCTCTCCACCACAAAGTTTCAAGTGACAAATAGCCAATGAATCGTCGATTCTGCATTTGAGTATAGGAGAAGAGAAGATGACTTTGGAGTAAATGTGGATTTATCGAAATTTGACGGTTGCATCGATCCAGACGAGTTCATCGAATGACTCCATATAGGGGAATGGATCTTTGAATACAATGATGTCCCACCTGACCAATTTCTGCTTCCAATTATTGCAGTTTTTGGTTTGAACTGCTTCCTATTGTGCTGCCATCATCTTGGTATCAAAGCAAGTCTTTTTTCCTGGGTTGTTCAGCTAGAGTAGGAATTCTTCATAGAACATCGTAGACTGGTTATTGGAAGAGTTCTTGGGCCTTTTTTATGATGATAAGAAGTTGCCACTGCAGTCCTCCCCCCTTTCCTTAGTTCCAGGAGCAGATAGGCACTATCGTGGCTAAATTATATTGCTAATTTCTCTGTTGTCTAGCTATTGATTTCTTCTCAGTTTCATCCATAGATAGGGGTGTAAACGAGCCGACCCCGAGCGAGCCCGGCCCCAGCTGGTGTTCGGCTCGTTTATATTTCGAGCTCAAAAAGACTCGCTCATGTTCGGCTCCTTTTATTAGCGAGTCGAACACGAGTTGTTCACAAACAAAGAGTCGTTTTGACAACCCTAATCACGTAACCATAAGATGTTAAGGGTTAGGACAAGATTTAAAAGTCATTATTTATATTAAAACATCATTTGACTCTAATTTAATAATTTTAATTTTATTTTCTTAATTAATACTTTTAGTTGATTATAAATCTTTGTAATCTTGTAGTCAATTAAAATTTAAAAAAATACTATTCATCAATATATATTACAAAAAAGGTTGTATGAAAGGGCCCAATAGATGATGCTCTACTCATACGATACATGGTACAAAGAGATATCCCCACAAAAAGATACAAAATACTCAAAAAAAAAACATGCAAAACAAGTGTCTATGGACGAGGCAATTTAGACCTGCCTCTTCCTCTAGTTCTTGGAGCGGATCCAGATAGCAAATTCTGAAGTGTTGTTGCATTGCCAGGAGTGACCAAGGTATCATCCATTAAGTTTCCAAGCTGAATAGTGTCCCCAGCCTTCTTCCTCCGTCGAGAAGCGTAAACTTGTCATTCTTCTTCTGAAGACTGTTTAGTCTGATCCGTAGAAGGAAAGACAGTTGCAACGATGAGTTCCTGAGTTTGTGCAGGACAGTCTTCCAAAATTTGGGAAACACATGTCATTGCAACAGGTAGTTCTACCAACTGTTTAATAATAGTAAGATGGTTTGTGTTTGACTCTAAATCTTCTTCATTAGTATTAGTAGACACCTTTTCCGTCATCTGAATGTGAATGTTCGCTTCATCCCTATCTTCAATCACCTCATAGAGGGGAGCTTGAGCACCCTCCACGGTAGGTAGAGCCTGATAGGGTAGTATGTCCACTCCAGTAGAAGAAGGGGCAGTGACTGCATCCTGCCTTCTAGGGGCAACCTCCTGATTCTCCTCCAACAAACGACTCTTATCAATATTTTTCGAAATTATATCAGTAGAGAAACCATTTTGCACCGTATTCGCCTTGGGCATAGCAGTAGGTATCACAGGCAATGAGTAAGAGGGTATAACCTCTGCAGGAATGTGCTGAGAAACAGGAGGTGGGGCTACAACCGACCGAAGATGGGGATACAACCGATAACATGATGGAATAATAGGATGAAGAGCTATGACCAAACATTCCACAGTGAGAGCAGTATTGGGGATGAGGTCCCATCACAATCTTCTGTCAATAACCCTGATGATGAGGGGAGCCAATCCAAATCTCCCTTGGAAATGGTTGAGTGATGTCGCGCTCTACAAGCACACAAGCTTCAGATTGCCTGGTTGTAACAAGCGTGGGAGTATCGACCTTCAGCGGTTTCCCAAAAGCAGTTGCCAATGTATAAAAAGTTTCATAATTGAAGAGATGCACCTTGAGCCCTGGAAAATTTAACCCAAACAACCCAAACCGGGATAATAGGAGATTCTAATTTAGGATCAAAATCAACTGTTCATTTCAGAATTTTCATAAAGCGATTATCAACAAGCTACTACTACTAAAACTGTTCATTCCACAGTGAAAACTTTTATAAAGTTGAGTATAATCTGCGTCATTTGAGAGTTGAATGAAAACGTGACGACCATCTAGCGAACCAATTTTCCAACTCCCTGTGAGCTTAAGAGAATCAAAATGCTTTTTAATAATCTCAAGTTTGGGATTTTCATACGGAAATTTCCTAACAAGAGTATATCTACATGTTGAAGCCAATATATTTGTTTCTTCATCATTGAGAAACAAAGCAGGTTTGTCATTATTTCTTCCCAGTATTTTAATAAAGGTATAACCACCTCCAGATTCATGTGCATCATGAAATTCTTGAGGGAAGAAACAGGAACGACCGCTTGCTCCAGGAGTAGAACCCCCAGAGACAGCCGCCGCATAACTCGAGGCCATTCCCCCAAACCGGAACAAAAGTAAACTCAAATGCAAAAGCTCCATGCGCCAACACTGGAGCTGAAGCAACGAAGAACAGAAACAGGGAACATAAATCTCAAAAGCGGACGAAAAAGCCACAGACTGCGATCTATATCACCATCGCTTTGAACAACAAACACGAGATATCTAAATCGTTCGCACATTTTAATAATTTGATCACCCAAAGTTACACTTCTATCATTAGAGCTACTACTACTAAAATTACATTCAATGTATTCATTTTTAGCTCTACTCAAATGAAGGCCTTTAGACTCCAATATAGACCTCCATAATGTTAGTGTGGAGCCCGATCTAATTTCCCGCTCCCGCCTCCCAATCGCGAACATCGCGATCTTCTGCCATGTCGCGAACCGTCTCCTTGCTGTCGCAAAACTTTTCCCGCTTACGCTCGTTCCCGCTTCCTGTTCGCGATAAAAGGCATCCACGCCCGGCTCTCCTTTCAAGTTCTAAGTTACGATTTTGTGTTCTTCTTCAAACTTCCTCGGGACATAGGAAGATAAGTACAAGTAGTAGTTCCTTGCGGTGAAGGAAGAAGAAAGAAAAAGAAGATTGTTCTCCATTGACTTCTTCTTGGTGACATGTGACAGAAGAGAAATTAAGTTTATTTCTCTTGTAAGTTTATCTTTTTCGGTGTATCTCGGTGTAGAGCTTCTTCGGTGTATCTCGGTGTAGAGAGAGAAGAACAGAGAGAAAAGAAGAGAGCAACAAAGTGAGAGATTCCTCTTGTAAGTCAAGGCAATCTACTGGTGTAAATTCCTCAAGTAGTAAAATCCTCTGCAACTCCGTGGACGTAGGCAATTTGCCGAATCACGTAAATGTGTGTGTTTCGCTGTGTTACTGTTTTCTGGTGTGAATTTTCTCGTTATATTTTTCACTTTCGTCAAAGATCTTTCTTCTATTTTATATATACCACAACAACTGATATATATCATAACACATAATTTAAGTTTTTCATGGGCTTTTTCTCTCGTCTTATCCATGAGAAGGATATCATCAACAAAAATCATACACCAAGGTACATCCTCCTAACTGAACCAGAAGAATATGTAGCAATTAGTTCTACTCAACTTGATAATGGAGGGATATGCGGCAAAATTCGAATGCCTTGGGCTGAATTGCAACCTAACTGAACCAGAAAAGCATTCCATTGCTTGATTTTTGGGTGGGCTAAGGCCAACCATAGGCCAGTTGGTACAACTACAATTTTTTGGGATCCTCTAAAATGTCATCAACCTTGTTTTCAAGGTTGAATGACAATAGAAATGAAGTAAAGCTGCAACCTTACACCACCCGTTGGGGGAGAAATCAATTCAGTCCAAAACTGAAGAGAATCTGGTCCAACCAAGCGGAAAGAAGGATGAATCCCGCAGTAAAGTCGTCTTCCAGCCTCAGGGAACAACTGAAATGGGTACAAACTCATCTTCAAGGAGGTGTTTTAAGTTTCATGGGTTTGGACATATAACATCCAGTTGTCCTAACTGCTAGGTCATGTCATTGGTAGAAGAAAGCAATTTAGGAGAGGAGGAAATTCAGAGAGAAGAGGACAACAGCTGTACGGGAGACCAAGTGTTGATGAAGGGGAATTGTTGGTCCTTCTTAGCCATAGAGAACAGCTGAAATACCCATCTTCAAGGAGGTTGTTTTAAGTGTCGTGGTTTTAGACATATAGCATCCAATTGTCCTAACTGCCAGGTTTTGTCATTGTTAGAAGAAAATAATTCAGAATTGGAGGAAATTCAGGGAGAAAAAGACAACAACCGGACAACCCATCACGCATCTTAGACGTTGTTTTCCATTCTTCTTTGGGCCGCAGTCTTATTTGGCGGTGTCCACTTCTCAAGTTCACCTTGGAAAACACTATAAACACTTTTAATTAACCACTTTGGTTTAGCACTATAGTGGTCTTTTAGGACTATCTAAGTGTATTTCCTACCTGTCTCCTATATAAGGCATGTTTCTTTAATGTAAATTCGACTTTTGGTTTTTCATTTTATCTCTTCCTTTGTGACGAGAGTAGGCGTTCCTTCGAAAACCTGTTGTTTGGTTGTTAATCAGGGTTCGGCCCTCCATGTGGGTGTTCGTGGGGCCTTTTAGCTGCTGTCCTTAACCGATTCCTTCTGCCAACCGTGGCAGTTTTCGGTTTCAAGAGGAAGACAGCTGAGTGATTAATTTTTTTTCCCTCTTCCGCCACTATCAGAAAGAAAATAAAATGTCAGTGCAGAAATATTAGACTTTGTTGAATAATATTTTCTTAGTTAAACTTGAACAAACCCTAGATGTAGTAGTTAAAAAGAGTGAATGTTGATTAAGAATTGGAGAGAAAAGACGATGCTTCTTAAACTACTTGTATAAGGTCATTATTGTCCCAAACTTTCAACATATTTACTTGAATTCCTTCACTTCTCAAATAGGATTCAAAAGTCTCTTTATTGGATTATTTTTTAATCATTTTTGAGGGATCAAGGGGCTAGTTTGGAACATATTTGAGGAGTAGAGAGATTGAGTTGTGCACATTAGATGGTTCAGGCTAAAAAGCCCTTTGTATATTATCCAAGGACCATTTTAAATTTTTCTCTTAAGAACAAAACCAACCTGCAATTGTTGTGACAAGGTTGAGGATATTAATGATTTATATCTTTCCAGTTCTAGGCAAAAAAATATTCGTTTCTTATGTATTGCAATATTTTTTTTATATCATATATTAGCTTTGTACTTTTCTATTGAGCTAATTTCTACTTTCTAAATGTCTTCTTGCATTTTGTTCTTTAATTTTAAAATTAAAGGATTTGGAAGAGCTTAGGAAAGAAGTTCAAGAGGCTCGACGTATCAAAATGCTTCACCAACCTAGCAGGGTACTTCTCCATAGTACATATTTTCATACAGCCTCATGTGATAATTGAAAACCACTCTTTGCATTTTATGCATTTGAAAAATCCTTCAGGTTTTTTGCCATTTGTAGTTCTTTTGTTTTTTCATATGCTTTCCTTCTGTAGGTATCCATTTTCTTGGAATAGATTCTGAAAAACGTTTTATAGGTAATGGATATGGAGCATGAACTTCAAGCATTGCGTGTTCAGCTGGCAGAGAAGTCAGTTTATGCTATTCAACTTCATAAAGAGGTTTTTTTCCCTCTAAACTTAGATTTTACTCGGCTCCATTTGGCTTTTCTGTTAATATTGTTTGTTGGTGATATGGTAGGTCGATAGGTCTTCACTATGTTTTTTTCCCTAGTTCTAGTTTTTTTACGATGATTTTAGTTCTTTTGGCTTAATGTTATTGATGGGAGTTTCATCTTAATTCTATGTGGCGTATCTTTGTGAATTCTCTTAGGTAGAATGAAGCTGAAATCTTAAAAATTAAGGCGTCGTTCGATGTAACGATTGGAATTTCTTCAAAAACTCTAAAGTTAAGTATGCTAGTGCAAAACACTCTTGTGATATGTGACCTCCTGGGAAGTTGCATCAATGAGATAAAATTGTGAGGCCATAGGCTAAAGCTGACAATATCTTGATGGGCGAGTTCTCGAGCTATTACAAATAGTATCAGAGCACTACACTAGCCTGAAGATGAGAACTTAGTGTCATACGCAATGAAGTGTTATACCATTGGAGGCATAATTTGAACCCTAGACGGGACAGTGTATGGATCACCTCTAGAATATTATTTGTTTGGTGAATGATTTTGGGTCAAGAGCACTGAAGAAGATGCCACTTTTTTAAGTGGGGGCCACTTTGAATCCCCTTAACTAGAATGAAGCTAAAATCTTAAATATCGAGACGCCTTCTGGTGTAAAAAGTTTTTTTTTTAAATGAGAAATTTCAAAGTTAAGCATTTTCGTGCAGGGGCACCCTTGGAATTGGCGACCTCCTGGGAAGTTACATCAACGGGACAAAACTGTGATACTATCAAGCCAAAGTGGAAAATATCTCTGAGTGGGAGTTCGGGTTGTTACAATCTAATATTTCATTGTTCACATCTAATATTATGAACTGTTGTGCCACAAATATTGTGATAAACCAATTTGAATGTTTGCCTTGTTATAGTAATATGGTGCGCCAATAATTTTTATAGAGTAAATTGCCTAATAATTGATATAAAATTTGTAGTAGTACATATTTAGATAAACTGCATTATTGTTGTATACTTCTTTTGTGGACATTTTCAGAATGATTGGTTCTTCACAACCACTATAGAAAATAATAATTACAGACATCGGCTAATGGAAATTCATCTATATTTATTTAGTTGTATCTTGCATTTATCTACATATAGCAACGTTAGGTGTTAATATTATGACTGATTTCCCTTTTTTTGCTTCTTTGGTTCTCCAGTTGGAAATCACCAAAAAAATTGAGCGAAGTAAAACTAATTTATACGAGTTGGAGGGTCTTGAAAGTTTGGGATCCTCTTTGAGAATCATTTCTCCAAAGGAAAATAATGTCGAGATCTCAAATTGTTCCATTCAATGGTATCGTATACAGCCTGAAGATGGAAAGAAACAGTTGATTTCAGGTACTTCTATCTGGTATTTGCTTCTTTTGCTTTAAGTATCCCTCATAATTTTATTCAGACGCTTGGATTTTTTCATTGAAATCTGGACATCTGGGTAGGTTCAATTTATAACGGCGATTTAAATGTTTATACACCCAAATCTTTCATATTACATAAAAAATTCCACCATTTTAGCTTATAAAAAGTGATATACACCTTTTCATGCATATGCATATGTAAGACGGCATATTTGTAAAAATTGAAATTTAGGTGTTAGATATGTAAATATATAGGATTTGAGTGGTATGCAAGTAAATCTCCCCAAAAGTTAACTTCATTAAACTCGTATCTGTTCTTGTCTAATCTACCCTAGAAGTTATATTTTCCTTCTTCAACATTTTCTATTATTCTGAACTGTTTGTTGCCAAAACAATTTATCATTAACAGGTGCAACAAAATCTATGTATGCTCCAGAACCATTTGATGTTGGGCGTTTCTTGCAAGCTGAGATAGCCTCAATCGGTGGAAAAGTAGTGTTAAGAACTACAAGCCCTATAGATCCTGGTTTGTTTTCTTTATCATTTATGGAAATTTACGCACATACAACACAATTCCTTTGCATTTACATATCTAACATCTTAAGTTTGATATTTCCATTTATAACACTTTGGGCTTATGAAACTATGCATGAAAATGTGTTCTTCACTTTTAGAAGGTTAGTAGTAGTGGTAGTTTTGATGTGATATTAGAGTGTTATGTTGTAAATATAAAGGTTTAGGTGTTAGATATATAAATACATAAGAATTGTGTGGTATGTATGTAAAGGTCCCTTTCATTTAATGATAAAATTAACTTTTCATTTTGAAATACTTTGATAAAGTTTGGGTCACTTTGTGTAAAAAATTCCTATAACTTCTAGTTTTTGTACAAGGGTTTTGATCCTGTCGCCATTACTCCATCTATGATAATGGTGTTTTTTGGCAAATTCTGGATCAACTTAATTAATTTCTACTCAAATAAGTTATTTTGTTAATTAATTGAAGAATATGGGATTATCTGTTTTAGTTGATTTCTGGTATTTTTATTATTTTTCTACTCAGTAGCATTGATAACTTTTGCTGAAAAAGTTTGTCAATATCTTCTGTTTGCTGAACAGCTGCTGGTCTAGGGAGCTATGTGGAGGCTCTCGTGCGAAAGCCTGAAACTGAGTTCAATGTACGGCTTCGTTCTATTCCATTGGCTTTAGTATTCTTTTTTGTTTAACCTTGAAATTTGCACTCAGTACCAGGTCAAATTTCTTTCTTTTTTTCCCCTATCCATCAGTCCAATCTGGTTAGGATGGCTGATTTATGCTAATTTATTTACATGAAATGCGTCTTTTATTTTCTAGGTTGATTTGTTTTTAAAAACAAAATATAAAAACATATAAAGATTGTATCAATCAAACATATTTTGAAAAACAAAAAATAAAATAAAAATAATAAACAAAATCAGGAAACAAAACTGATCCAAAACAGGCCCTTAAATTTTCGCAGTTCTTCCTAATTTCGGCTTCTCTCTGTTATGGTACAAGTTTCAAGCCAAACATCTATTGCCTTCTCCTCTTTCTCTTGCTACTTTTATTCGACTTCTTTCCCTTCACAGTCTTCTCCGTTAGCATTGACGTCTGCCTTTTTCTCCTTGAGTCAAGCAATACTATGCTGAAACCAAGCATCGACGTGTTTTTCTTTCTCTACAACACCTTTAATTTCTGCAAGGAAACTATTGTTGTGATTTAAATTTCTTCCATTTCTGTTTAGAATAAATAAATATTTCCGATCTCAGGTGATTGTAAATGAAATAATGTTCAAAGCAGTGTTAGTAATACAAAAATGTTTTTCACTTCAATATTTCTAATGAACCCCCTTTGTCGATCTAATCAGAAAACTCAGAACCATATTATTACTTCAGAGAAGCTTTGTTAAGAGTGCAATTTAACCTAATGACCTCCTGGATAAAGATTTTAGATTATACAATGATCGAACATTGCATCCTTTTTTGGCAACATTTATTCTGAAAAAAAACAAAAAATGACTTCCTGGAAATTTGTACCAGGCATGTGCAGTAAAGTGACTAGGGATCTATTAGATTGATCTATATTGAACCAGATCTTACCGGGGCTATATGCTTATTGAAATGGACTGTGCTTTACCTAAGCTTTCTTGGCTATTTGAACTTTGTTGGTTTGTCTCATCTAATTGGTCTGTTTGCTTATTTTCTACTATTTATTTGTGGGAGATGGTGAGTGTACATGCTGTTATGCAGGATCTGACACTACGTCCAATTTCTGTTTTTTTCAGGTTGTAATTCTCCAAATTAATGGGAGTGATCATCCCTCTAACTCTCTCTATGTTTTCCATGTGGGTAAGCTAAGGCTAAAACTTGCAAAGGGAAGGACAGCAAAGGCTAAGGAGTTCTATTCCTCTTCAATGCAGGTAATGAGTTCATGAAACATTTGCTACCCACATAGTTCCATTTATGAAATTGTGGTTTTTTTATTTTATTGATAAATTTTATTTCTCCATATTTTTTGCCCTCCCTCTCTTTTAGATACAACAATCAAATAAAATACTTTTTTATTGCCACCATGTCTTCTCCTGCCTTTCCTTTGTGAGACTAAGTTTTACCTTGTTGAAGTTTTTTTATTTAGTCATTTATTGACCGTTAGAAGATATTTAAAGGCATTTTTTGCATTGATGACCCATATTTCATTTTCTCGTTCTATAAATGAAACTCAAATCAAATATTTTACACACAAACATAACGATTAAAGAGCTCTGCAATCTTCAAATTATTGCAAGCTAAGGAATTGAAATTTAACGTTTGAACATGTTAATTTCAAAAGTTTATGCTGTCTAAAAGTTAACCCACTCAGCTGGCAGGTAATACTGGCAATTGGATAGAAGTTAGATATTTTTTGAAAAAGCGGTGAAGAATTTTGCTGTATAACTCAAAGTAATATGAACTGGCAATACGAATTAGAAAAAGTACGACAAAAGTATATGCTATACTATAGAGTTTGCGATAGACAAGAATAGTTCTAGAGACTTTTTAAATGGGCGATTTATGAATTAGCGTATAAAACTTATGCATACCTTTTGACCTGATTCAGTTAACTTCATTTTGGATAACTTTAGCTTGCTTTAGCTTTTAAAAGCTTATTTCGTAATCACAGTTCTAAATATATTTTACCAAAAAAATTTTGAAAATAATATAAAGAAATGTGCGATAAAACAATAATTCAAGTGAACTTTTTTTTTTACTGTTTTTCCTGTTACAAAGGCAGTCATAAAACTATTAAGTTAGCCACATCAGTGTTTTCTTTGTTTTAAAAGTCTAATTAAAGTAATTTTGGGACTTGTCTCTGATTATAAAAAATATGTTGAGAAAGTTTTGAGGGCCTCTGTTGAAAGATTAATTTTCATTTTATTTCTTTTAGTAATCCTAAAAGATTTAATGAACTTGAGCCATTGTCTATATTCAAAAAGTAATGTTTTAAATAAAAGAGGTGGCAAGTGAGTTAACAATGGTTAAATTAATCATCCAAAATGTTTCTCCTCAAGTTTTTATTAGAAGTTAAACCACTAGGAGTTTGAAATAAATAAGGTTCTACTTCTATAATGGATATTTTAATTATTTTTTGAATTTAATCAGTGTAATATGGATTTCAAAGAGTCAAGCTATTAAAGTTTTGGGCTAGATCATGTAGGTGACATATAAAAGCTGTTTTGAGGCTTAATGTTGTTAGTTTTTGACTGATTACATGTACATTTATAAACCAAAAATGTTCTACTTAATTAAATTTATTAATGATCAATATTTCTAGTTATTATTGGCTAGCTGCTTAATACTCTTAATTAGTACTATTTTTTTTACTTAACCACTGTTTACAATTATTAGGAATGAATAAAATTAGCTGAGTGACCGATTATAGAGACTATGTTAGCCCCTCCTGTTTGTTTTGGCCACTATTTATTGTGAATGTGCTGCTAGCAAACTTAACTAACCACTAATTTGATGCTAGTTCATGTTTTCATTAGTTTTTTAAGTAACTAACGGTCTGTTTGGAATCAATTTTAATATATTTATATTTATTTATTTATTTTTAAATATTTTTTAGGTGTTCTTATTTTTTGTTTTAAATAATAAATCAATTTTTTTAAAAACACTCAAATTGTTTTGATTTTTTTTAAAGATAAATGGATACAAACATGTTTTATTTCAAATCAAAGGATAAAAAAAATGAAACAAAAACACAGCATAGGAAATAAAAAGGGGCATTTACATACACACCACCCAATTCTTATGTATTTAGATATTTAACACCTAAACTTATAAGTTTTACATACCACCCAAATAAAAACTACTGCTATTTTAGCTTTTAAAAAGTAAAATACATCTTTTCATAAATAGGTAAGGTGGCATACATGTAAAAATTGAAGTTTAGGTGTTAGATATGTAAGTACATAATAATTGACTATTGAGTGGTTTGCAGGCATCTAAACAACAAAAAGGATCCCAAACCGCCACTAAATGCATAAAAATGTGATTTGGGACATAATTTACATCTTTTCCGAGAAAGAAATATTCTATGTTACAATGAAAATTTTAATATCTTATTCTCATTCCATTCTTTTCATTAACACCGTATAAAAACAGAAATTATGAGTCATTTTACCTTTTGGAACTGAGAAATTTAAGAAATTCCCTCCTCTATCGTCAATTTTCAGCTTTGTGGTGTTAGAGGGGGTGGCAGTACTGCAGCTCAGTCACTCTTCTGGCAACCAAAAAATGGCCTCTCCTTCAGTATAGCTTTTGAATCCTCAAGAGAAAGGAACGCAGCAATAATGCTTGCAAGAAGATATGCTTTTGACTGTAATGTAAGTTCTTTGTACTAAACGGCTTATTAGATTATTAGCTAGTGATGATTTTATTTTCACCCATTTAATAAATCTTCTTTATTTGGGGGATTTTGAAGGTTTTATCTAAAGTTCATAATCCATATTGATTTTAAATCTTATTAAACCAATTAATGAAATCTAATAAACTCATCATTTTTCAAAGTATGTATTCTAGATTGTAATATTGTACTTGTGGCATGTTTGGCTTGATAATTAGCTCGATTGGCTAAATGTACGAGTTATTGTTTTTTTGTCGAGTCAAACATGACATTGTATGTTTGATCTTGTTTGTCTTGATAGTAGCTCGATTTTTTTTTTGTTATTTACATATATGCATACATTCATACATACATACATACATACATGCATATTTATTTATTATGATCAAGTACATAAATAGCACTCGAAACATTGTCGTTTGCAAAACAAGCACCATCTTGCATTCATTTTTCAGATTCTAACCCAAATATCAAAGTTGACAATAAAATCCCAACGGCTATTTTTTTGTTTTTATCAAATTCCCAATACTTTAATCATGGACCACATAGATACATCGGTTTGATAATTCAAAAAAATGATATCGGTGCTAGCTTGAAAAATACAAAATTTTTGGGTGCTATGTGTATAATGTTGAAATGTCAAATAGCCTTTTTGTTCATGAACAGCTCGAGCTTAGCTCCACAAGTAAACGATACGCGTACAAATAGCAAATCTTGACTCATTTGCCTAACTCGCCACACCGAACAACATTTAAGCTCGCTCAAACTATTCTCTTTTACACCCCTAGTAATCCATAATTGCAGGCACACACGCACGGCATGTGCAAAACCATAAACTTAAGATTTTTAGTTTGAAAGCCTGAGCTCTTAAGTCTTAACCACATGCTTAAAATGGCATGCATACCTAAGTTCTGGTTGCACTAAGAGCAATATTTCTTAGCTGTAAGCTATTCCTTCCATTGCTTTTAATATCTTTAGACAACTTTTTCATTAATTACACATATCTTTCCAGAAAAATTGTCTGAATTCTTAATACACCTGTGAATCTTTTGTCCAGATAGTGCTGGCTGGACCAAATGACAGGTCTTCTGCTGCAGCGTGAGTGAAGTTGTAAGACTAATTTTGAGTTGCAAGTAAGCCTGAATTCTGTAAACTCTGTATGTATGATTGATTTGTTTGGTTTGAGGGGTGGGGTTTGATTGGTAATAGTGATAGGTTAGTTTGTAATTCTGAGGTTTTTGCTTGTTTTTATGGTAGAAGAATTGGGCAGGTGGGCAGGGTTTTTTTTTTTTCTTTTTTAATTTGCTTTCACGAGTCTGTAATAACTCTTTTTTTCAGGTTTAAGTTGAAGTATTCCTATAATTTGCTTTATGTTGAAGACTTGTCCTTGTTTCTTAAAGGGGAATTTACATACATACCACACATTACTTATGTAGTCACATATTCTAGCACGCAAATGTTAATATTATCATGCATAGCACTCAAGCATTTAATATCACATCAAATAAAACACTATCACCTACTCTAAAAGAGTTAAATACACATTTTGATGCATAGAGTTGTGATTCCAAATTTAAAAACACTATCACTTACTCCACATTAACATAAAGAGTGAGATAGGAGATGTTTCGTTTCGACCTCAAACTCGTTGAGTTGTTGGAAATGACCACTAAATATATTGTTGCCTGTGAGAACGCCCCTGAGCCGCCAAACAAAGACACCAGAAGAGACCGCCACAATACAAGAAAGGACAACCCAGACAAAGCACGCGACTATCAAATCGCCCTCTCTACAAGGGTTATTGTGACAATCACTCCACCCAGCGTCATAAGGATTATAAGTGACAAACTAAGGCCCAAATCACTAATCGTCACACCATCGTGAACACCCCTGGTATAATTCTGGGGTCCCTTGCAAAACCTCACTCAGGGTGTCCATGAAAAAAATAGTGGATGATATCCAGGATAATGAGTTCTTTAAGAAAGCAACGTTGATGAGGGCCGAAGCTTTTCTTTGGGATAATAGAAAATATTGTGAGTACCACAGAGATCATGGACACGATACAGAAAAATGCAAACACCTGCGAAGCTTGATTGAGGAGCTGATACAGGATGTGAAGTTGAAAGAATTTGTCTCCCCTGGAGCCGCGACCCAAAGGCTGAGCAAAGCTCCCATGGGAGGAACGATCCACGGGCCCATCCACACCAATGTCATTCACAGTCCTGAGTATGTGCCTGTAGTTTTTTGAAGAAGCGAACCACCCAGGAAGGCAGGCCGAAAGAGACAACAAATGGAGGAACTCTGCGCCGCAACCTTTGCCTCGAAACTCGATGACCATCTGTCTATTTATTTCACTGGTGAGGATCTTCCCCTAAAGAGAAATTTATGTAACGACGTCATTGCAATAATGGCAATAATCAACAATTACCAAGTAGGAAATGATCTAATTGATACAGGGAGTTGTTTGAATGTACTGTTCAAGCAGGTATTCAACAAACTGAGCCTTATTGTTAATCGGATGACTGCACCGGCCGATCTACTATATGGATTCTCAGGCGAAAGAAAGGAATCGCTGGGAGTGATCGGGCTCCCAGAAAGTTGGGGAGAAAATGAGAAACAATTTATGCTCACAGAAGATTTCCTCGTTGTGGATTAACCCCTAATATATAACGTTATATTTGATCGGTTGCAGCTAAACAATTTCAGAGCAGTGATCTCTACTTGCCATGTTGCTATCAATTTTCCTGGAGATGGAGAATTTATAATGGTCAGATGTAACCTAGAGAAGTCTCGGGTCTGCTACTTACAAACCATAAGCAACGTAGAGCACAATCCTCTAGACATCTAAAACGTAAGGGAAGGCATCCTTGAGACCAACGAGACCATCCGTGTGGTTCCGACAGTCGAAGAAGAAACTATAGATGTTTTCTGATAAGTGAAGTTTTTTTATGTAGGTCATAGGGAGCTGCTGATACAAACCCTCTGAGAAAATCGTAATGTTTTCCCATGGATGGTCGTTGAGATGCTGGACGTGCTGATGGACGCTGCATGCCACAGATTGAACGTCGATCCATCAGCTCGACCCATGAAGTTGAAAATTAGAAGCTTGGTTATGACATTGATGGGACTCATCCGAGAGGAAGTACGAAAGCTGGAGGAGGCGGGGTTTGTTCGGAAAGTGTAATACCCCACCAGGGTCTCCAATGTGGTGATGGTGTAGGAGGCCAACGGAAAATGGTAGATGTGTGTGGACTTCACCAACCTTAACTCTACTTGCCCAAAGTACCTAGGGAAGGTGAAGATGGAGATCGGCCGGTTCACAGCTTCAAAATTGAACATGTTTGAAGGGAGGAAAATCAAGTTGTCAACCTTCTATCTCAGAGCCTTCATCTAGGAGGACTACTTAAAAGACTCATTCAACCCTCAATCAAAGAACCACTAGCACTTAAGAAGTATCAGAAGGAGAAGAAAATCAGGATTAGCTCAGATCTCTAGTACCTAAGCACAGAGGAGATCAGTGAAGAAGTCACAGATCACAGGAGATTCAAACATAAGGTTGCCTAATACTTACTAGTCGAAGGAAAACTCTTCGGGAAGTCATCCATGTCCTTATACCTGAAGTGCATTGGGAAGACGATGTTGAAGTTATACTCTGAGAAGTTTGAGGAGGGGAGTGTGGGAGCCATTCCAGAGGAAATGCACCAGCTCGCCAAATTCAGCGGCAATGTTACTTCTGGCTGAACTTGCTTAAAGACACCGAAAAATATTCCCAAATGTGTACTAATGTCAGAAATACATACCATTATGCCATCAAGTTGCCCAAAAACTTCACTGATATTTCGCTTTCCAATCTTTTCTTTTATTTTTAGGGCATGTCAGATGGATCTTGAAACCAGCGGAAAACTGAACAGTCATCCTGGCTGATTTGAAAAGAGAAGAAATGGTTGAACAATTCGAGCGACCAAGGGATCTTCATCCTTCGGCAAAAGAGGAGGAAAGTGATTATGGAGGTCATGGGGTTGGGAAGAACTTGACAAGAATAACCCCGTACCATCAGAAAATCATTCCAATTTCCTTACAAAGAGGCAAGTGAAGACCCATTTTAAACTGTTCTTTATAGAAAATCAAATCAGAAGAGAAATGACTCGTCGCCTGCTCATAGTTGGCAGCTAACCAAAGTTGGATAGCAGGGTTTGAAACATAGTGGCTCTTAATCTCCCTCAATTTTGCTGCAGAGAGAATTGAGGCTTTTGAGGCTGGAATCGACCCAAATGATTCTTGGGGAGTATTTCTGCGCCATATGATCAATAGCAATGCACAAGAGAGGGGTTGAAGAAGAAGAAAATAAGGGGAGTAAAGAGTTATGAAGAAATAAAGGCCACAATGCACTATCCCGCGCACGCGCCCACACACACACACAGATATATATATATATATATATATATCACATTAACACAGAAAAATGGTTGGTGTGATAAAAATCACGTTGTACTCGAGAAGAAGCAATCATTAATAAAAATAGAAAATTTAAATGGTATCTATTCATTATTTACAAAAAGAGGGAACCCTCAGATACAACTAAGAGAGGGAAAACCTATGTAGTCATTTGCAGCTTCGTCCGGGACAAACCCCCGTTGACGCAGTCGCTCGTGCATAAACTCGCCACCCAACTTAAAGGGGTCATTTTGAGTATCCCTCTGTTGGGCAGCAAAATCCTCTCTAACGACTGACAGCTCCTTATATAGTCGAGCCATCTCCTCACGACCCGCTTGATATTTCCCCTCGAAAAACAACAAGTTCCTTACGAAGTGCAGCAACTTCTTTCTCTACCTTATCGACTGGCTCCAAGACCTCAGCAATTCATCATAGATATCCACCCTGAGTTGTACTATGAGACGAAGAAAGAACTCATCCATTTCAGCAAGGCGACACACCAGAAAGTCGGTATACACCCGACGACCCCTAAGGTGTCGTCTCCTCTACTGTTGTGCCAAATGGAATTTGGTCGCCCATGATCCTGTCTCCACCTGAGGGAAGATTCTTCCTTATCCTCTGGACCACAGCGTCCAACTCCACGGTGCCCTGCTCCATGGTCCCCAATTCTAAAGCAACCTGCTCCTCAATCTTCACACCCCTCTCACCGGCTTAATCTATAGAGGCAGAAAGGCCCTCAGGGCCAACCTCTATGTCTGAGGAAGTAGAAGCAATTGTCAAAGCTCCTGTAACTGCAAATAGAATACTAAAAACATGATTCAAAGTACATACCCAAAACTCGACACCATTCAAGAATGGAGTAAGAGACGAAGTCCTCAATGATCTCCTACAGTCCTCCACCCACAGAGGAAAAAATCACCCTTTTGCGATCGAGGCTTAGTCCCAACCTCAGTCGACGGCTTCCTGAACCCTCAAGGGATCATAGTCCCTCAGCAGTTTGAAAGAACATTCCTCCCCTTTGGGCAGAAGTGCTCGCCTCCAATGGGTGTCTCGAAAGACGTTAGTTGACATGCTTTCCAACCTCCTCTATAGCTCCCCCCTTTGATGGATCTGCAGAAAAATTCGAAGACCAGGCTCTATCTTCATTTCCCCTCGCCCGCAATCCCAACACAATTTGCTTCTTGCTTAAATCTCTTGCAAAAGCCCCACCAACTGGTTTTCGTTTTGCATTGAGTTTGCAAGCCTTCTCCCGCATGTCACTCATTGCTTTGAGGAGAGCGCTCTTCTTGGCTGATGTTGCTCCCTCACAAAATATTGCGACTACCACAAAAATGAATAGATAGAAGACAAAAAAAGCAAGAAGAAAAGGAAACGACGTAAATCCTTCTGACCTCAAGGCCTATTTATAATGGTTCAGGCACAAAAATCAAGGGAAGTCCTTTTTGCCCAATAATGTCATTTAATTATTTCATACATTTTAAAAAGATTCTATTGTCCTGCAGCTTCCAAGGAGCAAGAGAATCTAAGAAGTAAATATGTACATAAAAATGTCACCGTGAATCTCAAGAAAGATAAACGGCTCAGGAGGATGGCGTTGACGATCAAACATAGCAGTTGACAGCCGTCTTGAACTAGATATTAGCAAGAGAGGCGTCTTATCTGAATGATCGGCGAAATTTGCCAGGATATGTTTCGCAGGGTGGGGAGCGATCCTTAAGGCGATCAATAGGATGTTCTTTTTCGGATTAGATGTCGATCGAATCAAGGCTTACTTAAATATTTATAATTCTCATCGTTCGAATCAATCATCGATCTTATTATATGCGAATAGCTTTGTAATTACCAAAAAAAACCCCTGATAAGGTAATAATGAGGGGTTTAATATGCACTTTTATAATGTTGTGACATATGTCTATAAATAAAAGTTCATGTCATGAATAAAGAACGCTCTCTTTTATTATCTCTCTTATCATTTTCTAACATAGCATTCTATTTCTTGGGTGTATTTCTCGAACACTTTCGGATTCTATATATATATATATATATATATATATATATACATATACATATATATATATATACATATACATATATATATATTATATATATGTATATATATATATACATATATATATAATTTCTCATACGAAGTGATTTAGGCTAAAACACAAGTCATAATAGTAATTTAATTTTCTCACTTTTAAAGGGGTCATTTACATTAATACCACTCGATTCTTATGTATTTATAGATTTATACCACTCAAATCTTTCATCTCATATAACATCACTTTAAACTTTGAAAAATTGAAATACAAATTTTCAAACATAGCTAAAATGACATGTAATAATTGAAGTTTAGGCCTTAAGCATATTAATACAAAAGAATTGCGTGGTAAGTATGTAAATATTGCTAAATCAATATTATCAATATTTTGAAATTATAATTGGAATTAAAAAAAAAGAAACTTTTTTGAATATATAGATCCCAACTAAATTTTTTTTATGTTTTCTATCCTATTTTATTATAACTAAAAATATTAAAAATTTTAATTTAAAAAATATCTTACCAAAATTATTATCATATTTAAAATAAATAAAACTAAAAAATAAATATATTTTCATTTACAAACAAAAGGGCAAATCTGTAAAAAGAATAAAAAGGCGATCCTTTTGTTGAATTTATTACGTCTTATGTACGTCTCAAAATATTCATCCTACCAATTCTTAGGCTCTTGATTTCTCTTTAAAGTACATCTCAATTATTATAACATTAAATACTTTCCAAAATGAGAGAATCTATTTATGTTTTTTTTGCCAAAAAAAAAATTAAATAAAGATAATTTAATTTTTACATATCTAATATTTAATATTTAATTTTTACATTTATATCGTTCAAAATTTTTATTTCAAATTAAAAATATTATTATTTTAATTTGAGAAAAAAAAAAAGTTAAAATTCAACTTTTTAGGCAAAAATAATATGACATAAAAATTGAAATTTTGTAACTATTTGGAATAACTGCAGTTATTTAAAGAAGTAATTATAAAATTGCTATTATAATATTTATTTTTTTATTTTCGAAGTAGTATACTTTAACTTTTTAAAAAGCATGCCTCATCATATTTTAAAAATATAAATAAATAAAATATATTCAAAGGTCTAAAGGGCACTCTTAAATATTAGATATGTAAATAGATAGAAATTTTGGTGATATGTGTAAAAAAAATTTAATAATTTAATTCATTTACAATTTTTATGCAATGAAAATTACGGGAGAATGGCAAAGATTTGAGAATAACTTCAACTCCGAAAGATAAAATTAAAAATCACAGTTTTCCTCCAAAGATAACGCCACTTGCAGACGGAGAGAGAGAGAGAGTTGTCGGAGAATCCACAGTGATAGCCTCAGCAACCCAACAAAAAAACAGGAAGAAAGTAAGAGATCCGCCTCGAACCCCTCTCCACCTTCTTCTCCCTCCTCGTTCTCTCTCTGCAACGCCTCCCCCTTCTCCAAAATCCCACCTTTCTTCCCGCTTTCCCACCTCCCATCCCTTTTCTCCACCACCGCTTCGATCCCTTAGAGAGGGAGAGCAGAGGAGGATGAGAGAAGAAGAAGAGCCCAACTGGTTCTCCCGATGGGAGGAAGAATTACCCAGACCGGAGGAACTGATGCCGCTCTCCCAATCTCTAATCACCTCCGACCTCGCTCTCGCTTTCGACATCCCTACTCAAAACCCTAACCCGATCCCTGGCCTCCACATCCACCACGGATCCACCGGAAATCAGCACTCCGCATCGCCCCCACTTCCCGCGGATCTCGAATCCCCCGACCACTCCGCCCCCGCAGGCGACGATTCAGCGCGTACCCTTAAGCGGCCGCGGTTGGTGTGGACTCCGCAGCTTCATAAGCGGTTTGTCGACGCGGTGGCTCATCTGGGGATCAAGAACGCGGTTCCGAAGACGATAATGCAGCTCATGAGTGTGGATGGCCTCACTCGCGAGAACGTCGCTAGTCACCTGCAAAAGTACCGACTTTATCTCAAGCGCATGCAGGGCCTTAGCTCATCTGCCGGCGGGCCACCAGTACCGATGTCGGCCGCTGATGCTGCTACTGAACAGTTATTCGCCAGCAATCCAATTCCCCATCCTCTTCTTGGCCGTGGTGGCTCCTCCGGGCTCGGCCAAGAGTCTTTCATGCAGTTCATGGCTCCCCCGCTGCTGCAGCACCATCAGCAGATGGTGGCGGCCGCCGCGGCACAGCAGCAATACTACCATCAACGACAAATGGGGCATTTTGGATCACCGGGGACAGGTGGTGGTGGTGGTGGTGGTGGTGTGTATGATCATGGATTCATCACTAGAGGGGCTTTGCCTCCACAGGGATTGCATAGGATGGGAACTCCTGGTTTCAACATGGTTAGGCCATCTGTACCAGCCGCGTCGAATTGTTTTGATGATGATGATGATGTGGATTCAAGGGTGGGAGGAGGGAGGAGGGTTCTGACTCTATTCCCCAACTGTGGTGAAGATTGATTCCTTTCCTCCCTTGTTTTTTTTTTTTCTTTTTCATGTGTAATTTATATCTTTGAGATATGGGAGATCTCGGATTTGAAGAAGTTAGAAGGATTTTAGAGAATCGGGTTGGTTGTATTAAGAAAGTTTGCTCTTTTCGTTACATTTGTCAGTACCCACACAGTCAATGCTGCCATTGTTGCTCTTGTTCATGTTCATGTTGTTAGCAATATTTTCTGCATAATCTGATAGTTGTTGCAGATTTTAAGGATTCAATCTAAGTTTGCTCTTTTCGTTACAATTGTCAGCGCCTACACGGTCAATGCTGCCATTGTTGCTCATGTTCATGTTCATGTTCATGTTCATGTTGTTGGCAATATTTTCTGCATAATCTGATAGTTGTTTCTGATTTTAAGGATTCAATGTAAGTTTAAATTGCCTGTTTCTAATGCTCTTTATTGGTGCAGAGTCTTTATATGATATTTGGGCAATTTATTTACAGTTCAATCATCCCTTTGTTTTCATCCCTGGCTTCTACTTCTTTGAATGGCAGTAAATTGTATTAGATGTTGCTATAGGACCAACATAATTTGATGGTGTCTTATTTTTTGTGGATGGATTTTTTGATTATTTTTCTGTTATTAATTTTTATTTTGTCTATGTGTTAATTTTCATTGGCAATATTGTCATTTGTGTGTTTAGGATAACTTTGATTTCAGCCTTATATTGTAAGATTGTATGTGTTATAAATATAAGCCTAAAAATCATGTCACTGTCAAAATATGATGGTTTGAATGAAGATTATGTGCAACATGCTTGTCCTTCCTTCTATACTGTGTTCCTTTAATCTTCTTCCTCCGTTTTTGTCTTTTATCTACTTCTTCAAGTCTTCTACAAATTGTATGCTATATTGATTGGCGTAAATTAGTATTAAAGCTCAATTTTTGTCATACAATTGTCTTCAACAATTTAACAAGAGATGACTGATTTTATCATGAAGATCAATGTTAAGGTATCTACAAACTTGCCATGGCCTGTATGTTTAGTTTTTGTCGGCCACCGCAATAGATAAATTTTTGTCATAAAACCTTGATTGGCTCATAATTAAGCCTAACTCAAATTATAAACCATAAACTAACCTTGAAACATGTTCAAAAATACTTTTTTTTGTAGTACATCACACACGCGCACACGTTCTTGCATGTGTGTTCTTTGTCATAAATTATAAGTTACTTGTTCCCATTATTGTAATATGAACACCTTATATTTGTGCCATCTTCTTTGGCCCTACTCGTTCACTCTCCAGGAAAACAACTAATAAATTCACAATCACAAAGCTATGTATTACTAGGTGGCTTTATTGTTGGATCTTTGCAATGAGTATTTGTGTTATACTTTTTGGTTTAAAAACATTAGATTTTGTTGCCCTTGAAATTCAATGATAGCTTTTACCAATGAAAAATCAATTGGTTTAAATTTTCCTAATTATAGGTACATTGTTCTTTGAAAATTTTATCACAATTAGTTTTAATATGTCAGAAATTCATCGGTAAGTAGACTAAAAATTCCAACATAACATAAAGTAATTATTTTTGGATCTTCTCACTCTGCTCTCCCTCTTCTCTTCGCCAAGGTGCACTCGCTAGCAAGAAGTCGCACGTGCTTGCCGGCACTGCCCAAACCGGCATCAGCCAACCACCTTTTGGCCTCGCTTGCTTTAGTTGACAATCTTAATAACCCCTCTTATCTCAATGCTATTGCCATTTGCCGGCCACCTCTCGCTTGCTCCATTCTTATCGACAAGTTGAGCCACTAGCTCTTCAAACGCAATAATTATAGCCCCATGGGAGGTACTTATGATCATATGTGACCTACTTGTTACAATTTATACATGATATGATAATTGCTGAGGAAAGAGGGCTTGCACTCCGTCCGCATTTTGATGTAGGTGCATTTACATATATGCCTCCATATTCTTATGTATTTACATACATAACACTCTAATATTTAATATCACATCAAAGATACCACTATGACTAAACGTGAGCACACCTTTCCATGCATTGTTTCGTAACACCATGTAAATATCGAGCTTTAGGTGTTAGAAATGTAAATACAATGGAATTGTGCAGCATGTATGTAAATTTTTCTTTTATTTATTATGCAATGTTTCCTTTGCAATTTTATACACTGTATATGGTTATGGATGCAACCTTATATTATTGTAGATGTAATGTTTCTTTATGCATTATGCAATGTTTGGGGAAAATAGACTAAATTATATGAACCCATATACTTATATTCTCAATAAAGATAAGGGATTCATTTGAGAGATTTAGTTTATTCTTGTTCTAGCGAGGCAAAAAATTTGATTTAGATGATCAGATTAACCTCATCACAGATGATATATTTGTGACTTTTCTTTTTAAGTGTTTATTGTAACACTTATACCATAAGTGATTTTTTGTTATATTTTTCACTCACGTTTTGTTATGTCTATCACTTTCTTTTAATGTTCGCCTTTCAACTGACATTACCTCCTCCTTTTTGTGCTTGCCAATATTCTCATGTGGCCATTTGTCTTTATGAGGAGGGATTTTTGCATACGTTGTCTGGACGATGCTGTATTCAGACAACGGCCGCGATACACTTAATCGTGGCATTTTTTTCTTTATTTCTTTTCCTCTCTGCCGTGATCAGGGAATCGCCACAATTGTCCGGCTACGTCGAGACAACTTACTCAAAAAATTTTCCTTTATAAGGTATTGTTAATTTTTTTTGCTGATTCTTGCATTAATATGTTATTCTTTCGTTTTTGCAATGTTTAACCTTGCTTCAAAAGATCATCACAAAACATTTATTCCTTTTGAAGTTCTTTTATTTCAAATTGAACCCTATCTCAATATTCCTGCAAACTCTGAATTATGGTAAAGGATTTGGAGCCTTTTTATAGCCCTCTGCCAAGTAAGCTTGGAAATGTTTTGCTTTGATAAGTTTATGTGGACTTCTTTTTCACATCTTCTCTGTATTTTATCTAAATTGATAGATTTTTCAAAACATGAATTATGCTAAATTTTCTTTGCATAGTGATATTTGTCTTGTGCTAATTTTAGAGTTCAAAGTTGATTGTAGGCATTGAGTGTTAAACTCTTTGCTCATATTCTCTATGTTTCTTTATCTTGTATTCAGATAAGATGATGTTTATTTAATAGTTAACACACCATATCCCTGTACTTCTTCATTAACCTTATCATGAAGACGGGAAATTTACTTACATACCATACAATTTTTATGCATTTACATATCTATCATCTAAAGCTTGATTTTTACATTCCTAACACATTGGCATTAAAAACCTATGCATGAAAAAGGTGTGTTTCACTTTTAAAAAGTTTGTGAAAGTGCATTTTTTATTTTTGATGTAATTTCAAAGATTTGTTATGTATGTGAATATGAAAAGTTTAGGTGCTAGATATCTAAATATATAAGAATTGTGGGGTATGTATGTAAATGCCCCCATAAAAAATTATAAAGTGCGACTCTGCACATTCCATATTTCATACCGATTATCCGTAAATCTTAATATGACCCATGTTTTTAGGATTGGACCTCCATTAAGATCCCACTCATTCTTAAAGGTTTCACTTAGTTCATGTTTTATGAAATGTATGCTAATAATCTCTCTGTGATTTGGCTTAAGATATGTTTGCTTTTTCACTACTTTGCTTTTCAGACTGCTGCCACACTTCCGTTTGGCTACTATTTTCTTGCCGCGTTCTAAAAATTTTCAGTAGAAAGCTGAATTTTACAACCAGATCTACTAATTTGATTGCTTTAAGAGAACTGTAATCGATATTTTTTTTTCCAATAAAAAAATAAAAAAATTATAATATTTACAGTACAATTTCTATCTTTATGGCATTATAGTCATTGTAGCACTTGTGAAATATATTTTCTCTCAAGTTTTGTTTCCTTGAATACTTCCATGTGTTGTTATGACAAATTACAAAAAGTTACTTTGCTCGCATCTTCTATATGTTTGCTTGAACATACTGAGTTGTAGCCTTGGCAAAACTGAGAGAAGTTTTCTATTTTTTTTGGAACATTTCCATAAATACAATTCAATTCCTATGTATTTACGTATCTGACACCTAGACGTCAGCTTTTACATACATGCCGCCTTAACTATGCACGAAAAGGTGCATTTCACTTTTCAAAAGTTGAAAAGGTGGTTTTTTTTTATGTGATATGATAAATTTAAGTGGTATAAATGTAAAAACTAAAGTTTAGGTGTTAGATATATAACCATATAGTAATTGGGTTGTATGTTATGTAAATGCCCCCTTTTTGTTTTTCCATGTAAATTTCTCATCATCATTAAACTTTGTAAGATGTTAACATAGAATTCAAAGCTTATTCAAATAAGTTAACTTTTATTTTTTTGTAGAGATTATATCAATTAATTAATGTGCAATTTTATAATTTTCTTTGTGAGAAGAGGTAGACGAGAGCTTGCTCAAGGGGAAGAAGCGATCAACCATTCTGGAACTCGCCTGCTATTTCCATTGAGGCTGCACCGAGCAGAGTGAGATCTCATCTCTTTCTTGTTCAGTAGTTTTATGCATACAGCGAAGATTTGTTATATGTTTTGGTACTCTCCTTGTTGTTTATTCTTCTTTACATCTTGATGGTGGATTATGTGCGCTTCCTTGTTTTGTAGATGTACATCATTTTTTATCAGATCGCATAAGTTTCTTATGTTTTTCATTCATGTAGTTGTTCTATATGTTCCCAATTACTCGTGTGTTTGATTTGCTTGTTCAACATTGATCTTATTTCTCTTTTGATTGCCCTCAAAACAAGTAATTTGAACCATTTAGTTTCCATAAATTTTTAGCATCAAATATGAATTTGAGAAATTTAATGTAAATATTTACACCAAAAGGCAGTTGGGGGTGAAAATTGGAACGAGAAAAGTGTCAAAATAGTTCCTTAATTCTTTGTATGGAGTTATTTTAGTCTTAGAATATATAAAAGTATCAATTTAGTCCCCAACACTTTTAATATTTGTTGAAATAGTCTGCTATGGGGTATTTTTATAGTCTCGTCAATTTAAAGAGTTTGGGGATTAATTTGATATTTTTATAGAATCTGGAACTAAAATGACTCCATGTAATAGTCAAGGGATTGTTTTGA